ATTGAATGCTTGAACAACTATAAGAGAGTGTCTGCTAGACCGTGCAAAGTGGGTGTATTCAATGCAGCGCGAGAGAACATACGTAAATCGAAGCTTTTGAAACCGTTGTATTTTCTTTATTAGTTGTTCATAGAGTCCCGCGCTATCGCAGGACAGTACATCTACACGAGATCAAATCTCGGAGAAGCACGGAGTGTGCGATGATGTTTCAAGCGCCAATCCCGTGCTATCGTGAGAAGAAATGATCATTAACATTTATTTACCCCTTCAGTCAAAGTGTGGAAAAATTAATTTATACAGCTTGCATTGCAGTAATCGCTTTTTTCTCCTACAGCGGTAGTGAACGTGTTAAGCGTCATCGTGCACTTCCAATGAAGGGAGTGATTCTACACATTTATATATATTGAATCATTTGCTTTTGTAAACACAGTCACATCGATTGTGAAAGGCCGATTATCTAGTATAGCAGGCGTCGGTGTTCCATAAATATGTTAATTTTAATATGCGCGTCTAAAGTGTTAGTAAAGGCTGTCACCCAGAAATGTTTTGGTGGCCACCGGTCGATTGCGATCGACTTAATGCCCACCCTTGCTTTAGAGTAAACACTCCACGCATTTTGATTATAAGCATTCATATATCTAAATGGGTACAAGAATTTTTTATAAACTACTCGGATTCTGGTATTGACTTAGGAGGATTTGTGCGACTTTTTTCTTCCTTAAATGTAAAAATTCTATTCAAAACACCCAAAAATGTAGAAGATTAAAATCGGTTACGCAGATTTAAAGATTAAAATGTTTAAACAGAGCCATTTTTTTTAAAGCTATATTACTTCAAAGATTTTAGGATCCGTATTTGTATGATAATAATAAACAGACATCCTTACTTGCATTTTAAAATTGTTGAAAGAACCCTACGATTATACACAGAAACATACGCTGTTATAAGTTTTGTCATTCGTTATTAGAAAAGATTATAATCTTCAAGCTTCAGGGTATGTTTTGTTTTAAGCAATATCCATTTGGCTGTCCTAAAATATAACTTAATAATATAATAAGATTAAGAATTAATAGAAAATAACGACATAAGTTATTTCGTCACTCAGGAAAAAAAATCGTCATTTAATAGCAACAATACTACTATAGGTGCAGAGATATAAAACATCATCAGACACGCGTGCCAGATATAAGATTGTGTGTACTACGAAATGTTGCTGTTAAATGTCAACCTTTGCAGCTGATCTATCGATGTCTATTTTTTCATAGATCCACCTGTGTTATTACTCGATTAGACGTATCAGTAAATACATTTATTTCGCTTAAATATCGACTCAAAGTGGTAAGAACCTAGTTTCTTAAATTTTAAGTCGTTTCGTCTAGATCTTGTGTTGATGTGAACCACAAATTCCATACTCTTTTGATATTAAAGTAACTTATAATTTGAATTTACATTTAAAAAAAGTATTTAATTGATGGATTATGTTAAAAATTCATATTCGAAATTATTTTGCTGTTTAATTAAGTACCAAGGTCTTTGAAAACTGAAAAGTCTTGGTGTAAGATAGTGGATTTGTTAGCACTATAAAAGGATCTAACAATGTTTTGAGTAATTTTGAAAGTCTTCATATTTGATTGATCATCAAATTTAATTGGATTGTGATTTCATTATTGATTTACTGAAAAAGTAGTTTATATTAGTTTTCGAAGGCTAACCAGAATCTTATCCAAGGAGGTGAGTGATTACTTGTAGTTTTTAGATTTTATCTGTTTAAATTTTATCAGAATAATAGTTTAATAATGATGTCAAAATATTTATTACTTGTATATTTTCTTAAGAAAACTGTTCTCTAAATTGAAATATGTATAAGTAACAAATAAATAAATCACAAAATAAAGCGTGACTATTTTTTTAACAATTTTAAAATTAATTTATTCTTGTGATAGAATAATGTCAATTTACCTGCATCATATTTATTTTTAATCGTAATACCAAAGGTTGCATGAAAAAACTGTGCATCGTTTAAAATTTATGTGTTTTTCCTCAAAGACAACTTTTAAAATGTCATAATCGCGTTATTTTTATTAAAGTGAACTAAATACCTCTATATAAATGAAAAGAAAAAATGGCGAATACTCTAAATACTTTGTTTAATAATTTTTCTCAACTATCCATTGTAACTCTTTAATGATTTCTACACTAGCGTAGCTTGTCCTGAGTGGGCCCGTATCAAAATTACTTGCACACCCTTTTTAGTACCCCTTAATATATTCACAATTTTCCTCGTATGTGTTGGGGCCCATTTAGCTTGGGGCCCTGTATCATTGATACGGTGGTAGTTACGCCCCTGGATTTGTATATACCATGCTTATTTTGTTTTAATTTTATTTCAAGTACACATAATCAATACATACTATAAAAGTAAATACTATTAAACATGTGTTAGTTGTTAAATTACTTATTATTCCATTATCAAAAATTAATGCAGATGTATACATTTCAATGAATGTTTCATTGAATTTTATGTGGTAGGTTAAATAATAAGTATGTTTTGAGATTAATGTATAATTTTAATTTTTTTCACTGCAATTTTACCTCAATATGAAATTTCAACTAAAAAATATTTTGCTGATTTGTATTCTGTTCTCAAAATATTTGTTAACATTGAATTATTCTTTATTCCCTTTAATTTTCAATAATTTACACTATTGTAAATATAAACAAATGAATTATTTCATCATTTATTTAAAAAAAAAATGTAAAACAAATATGAGATTTTTTTTGTGCTTTCAAACTAAGCATATGGATGCTTAAGTTTTAAATTCACTCAGAAAATTGACTAATTACAATAGTCATTGTATCCATGCACATAAAAGTGAAAAGTTTAATTCAAAATTATCGATAGTTAGCCAATTCATAAGAATGCATAGTTATATTACATATTGTACTAGCAATTGCAATAACTTTTCATTTATCGTATTAGCTGCTCATTATATGAAGCTGTTAAGTCCATAAGTAAAAATAAATTACCACACAAAATTCTTAATTAGCTTGAAACCATAAATTGAATAATTCGCAGAAATTTAGTTTTTAAAAAAATAACTCTAAGTTAGATTTAAAAATGGAACAAATCATTGTGGATTTACCTCTATGTGAAATTATCTAATTTTATGTTGATTTAGTTTATTATACCAAAAATATCATAATTAAAGTCATATATTCTAGTAACTTGTCTAGTTAATCAATCAAATTATTAGTTTGTGTAAATTCTATTGCTTTCCAACTTTTCTAGAAAATAAACAATTTTAAGAAAATGTACATATTTATATTTCTTTTTTTATTAAAATTATTTCCAATTAAATGTATTTTTTAAAATATCATAAATTTATTATATTTAATACTTAAGCGATTTCCATTGCTGTTCTTTTGATAAACATATCAAGTAAAAGTATAACATTTTTAAATAATTCTCATTTTTTTAAATTTAGTAGATTTATTCATATTTTTTTATATTATTTACACATTTAGGTTCAAAACTCATGAAGGAAAACATAAATTGTTGTAATTATTGTTCATTTAAAGAAAATTATAAATTTAAGAGGCATATCTTTTTTCAGAAATTACATTAACGATATTATCGTAAAGTACGAAATGCAGTTTTTACATTTAATGTTTTGAAAAAGTTAAATAATGCCTAAATTCATCAGTTACTAGATGTCAAAAGTAGACAATTAAAATGTTTTTTGATCATTCATATATCCTCAAAAGTTCAAATCTAACAAGGAGAGGGCACGACTAAGGAAATTCATTTGGGACCGAGACTTGGTGTAATAGTAGTACTCTTTTAGGGTGTTCACCCCTGAATGTAATTCCGTCGAATGGCCAGTCAATTCGGAGAAATCAGCCTTCGAAATTCATGCTTAGCTTTTATACAATTAAATTTTAATTTTCCCAACGAGTTCGTAGCTTGATTGGTAAATCGTCTGCTTTCTATGTTGGAGGTTAGGGTTCGATTCCACGCGCGCAATCAACTTTTTTTCTTCAATTTATTTAATTATTTTTTTTAATTAAATAAATTTATTTATGAAAGGTTTATTAAATATTAAATGATATTTTTGTAATTATTTTGTATTTTATAAAATAAAAAATTACTTTAATTATATAAATAATTATATTAAATTTTATAAATATATTTTATATTAATAAATAATATTTATAATAAAATATATAATAAATATATTAAATGATGTTTTACAAAAAAAAAAAAAAAGTTGCAAATAGTTTTATAAATATACTACAAATAAAATATTATACATGATATAAAATAATTTATAAAATATATTATCATTATTGAATTAATTATTTTATAATTAATATAATAAAAAAATATGTCTTTTTTATACGTTATTAAATTAATTATTTTGCAATTTTATAAAATATTTAATAAGTCCTTTTCAAATAAATTTATTTAATTTCAAAAAGTTTATTTAAATAATTTTAATAAATTTATTTAAATAATTTCTATAATAAATTAATAATAATTTAAATAATAAATTAATAATATTTCTTATTAATACTAATGCTTAATAATAATTAATTAATTATAATAAATAGTGATTAATTAATTATAATAAATAGTGATAAATTAATTATAATAAATAGTAATTAATTAGTGCAAACAGTGATTAATTGATTAGTTTGCATAAATAATAATTAATTTACTAATTTTGATTATTAATAATTTTTATTAATAATTATTTTAAATATTTTTATTTAATAATTATTTTAAATATTTTTAATTAATAATAATTATAAAAATTCTTAATTAATAATGATTTTTAATAATTTTACTGGTAAAAAATTTAAAATATATACATTAATTTTTTTTATTTTATGAAATATAAAATAGTTACAAAAAATATCATTTAATATTTAATAAACCTTTCATAAGTAAATTTATTTAATTAAAAAAAATAATTAAATGAATTGAAGAAAAAAAAAGTTGATCGCGTGGGGAATTGAACCCTAACCTCCTGCATAGAAAGCAGACGATTTACCAATCAAGCTACGAACTCGTTGGGGAAAATTAAAATTTAATTGTATAAAAGCTAAGCATGAATTTCGAAGGCTGATTTCTCCGAATTGACTGGCCATTCGACGGAATTACGTTGAGGGGTGAACACCCTAAAAGAGTACTACTATTACACCAAATCTCGATCCGAAATGAATTTCCTTAGTCGTGCCCTCCTCTTGTAAAAAAATTTCTAGATCATTTATCCGAAATGAACCATAAATTCGGATATTATTAACAAATGCAATTTCCTTGAACAACATTTTCACCTTATTGTTTTAAATAATTTTATATTAACATTTCATTCACTAGGATCTAAAAATGAAACAAGTTATTATTCATTCTATCTTGCTTGATTCTCTATTATGAAATTCTTTTTTTATGTTTTTATTTATTATTAAATATTTTATAAATTTGTATTAATCGGATTTTTTCTTCTTTTTACTTATGAATATCTGATAATTAAATTCATGCTACAACTATTATATATATATAAAAAATCGTTTGTCTCAAATAACTCTATGGTTTTTCAAACAAGTTTTATAAAAGCTTTCATTTAAAAATTATCGAGATGAATTAAATAATTATTTTCATTCGTGAAAGACGTTAAAAATTATTGGGCTTAAATTTCATTTGTTTATATTTAATTTAATTTCATTTGCAAATTAATTTCATTTCGTCTCATTTGCTCATTGATTTTATTTCATTTATTTTTAATTTTATTAATTCATAATTTTTCATTTACTAATTGAATTTAGTTTGCTTAGTTATTGAATTTTTAACTTGTTTATTGATTGAATTTAACTTGTTTATTAATTGCATTAATTGTGCTTATTCATTTAATTAAATTTGCTTGTTAGATTTATTTAACTATTCATTTAATTTCATTGCTTATTCATTTAATTTAATTCAATTTGCTTATTTGATTCAAGTTTATTTTTGTATGAAAATCAATGAAACTCGTGAACATTTTAGTTTATTGTAATGTTTTATTTAAAACTTTCTATATCAACGTAATACCTCTTTTTACTTACAAATTTTTATATGAAACAGTAATGGATGATATTCCAAAAGTATTGAGTATCGAAGATGTTAAATACTTATAAAAGCAAATGACAATTATTTCTCTCTATATATTTTTCTACATATAGTTACATACATATTCATTGTAGTATAACTGTTTGTTAATTGCTGAGTATGTTATTAAAAACATATTTTTATAAGTGATGTATGATAGAGAGTTTATGTTTATAAATAATATGCAGTTGGATTTTTTTTAATCATCTCGAATACGAAATATCCAATTATAAACATAGTTTAGTATGACCCTTATAAACTGGATACCATTGTTTGTACATTTTATAAGTGTATATATATAGTGATACGTCCTAAGTCCGAGGTTGCATTTGGCTAATTTATAAATTGTATCCAATTATTTTTAATTTTTGTTTTAAAACGTTGGTATTTTATTACTTTTATATTCCTCATTGATATTTTTAAATGGAATTTTGCATTTTAGGATTCTTAATTTCAAATTTTTGCTTACTTTATAGAATTGTGATGATTAATATATATACATAAATTAGTATCTTGTTCTCTGCACTTTTAGGCGAAATGTTATAGAATTAATGCACGGCTTTTGTGTATAACGCAAAATTTTACATTCATTTTGAAATAATGGTGAAAGAATTTAATCAATTTTTAGAAGAGTACACAAAAAATGCAATTTCTTTCACCATTATCTCAAATTGAAAATAAATTTTGCGTAACATACAGAAGTCATGTAGCAATTCTATAAAATTTTATCTTAAAATACGAAACAAGGGATATTTTGTAAACTTATATTATGTAACTGTTATTTCCTTTGATGATTTTGAAACTTATTATTTTAATAATGTTGACACAATACGGGCGCATTTTGTAATCACAATAAAAAAAATCGGTAAAAAGTAAACATAAACTTGATATAAAAACAGAAACGCTTACAGAAATAAAAGAAATGAGTGAATAGGAAGACAAAAAAATATAGGAATTTATATTCACCGTTATTTTGATTAATCATTTTAGCTAAGAATAAATAAAAGAAATCTTTTGTTTGCAAAGATTTATTTAATGATATTATACTACGCATGTGACACTTGGCTAAAACAACGTGTGTTGATTTATAATACAATGAAAAAACGTGTGTGTTATTTAAATATCTATTAATGAAAGAAAATTTAAAACACGTAATACTTAACATGGCTGAGAAAATGAATAAGCAAGCCCTTAAAAATAATCAATCAATCAGATTTATAAAAATATATAATTAATGAATTTAATTAACATCATTAAAATAACCAGTTATGTATACTTGCAGCAGAAATTATGTTAAAAATATATATATTTTGATATTTTATTTTAAATTTATTGAAATGCAATTTTTTTATTGAACAGTCTGTTTATTTCATTCCAATTACTAACGAACGCTTCAGAAATATTCTAAGTCATACTGTTATCGAGTAATTAATACTTGAGCAAAAATTATATGAATCTTATGTTTAGCACAATTGGCGTATTTCAATACTGAAAAATATAGATTGTTTCAGTTGAAGATAAGTTTCACAACAAATCAATGTAAAGATAGATGTTTCTCTTTCACTTTCTTTTGCAAAGACAGTTTTAATTTCACAGTTAGGAATCTTGAGCATTAAGCAAGCAATAAAACTTTCTCGATGAAGACGTATTGAACAAGGGTACTTACAATAAATAATCACTTCAAAGTCAATGTCATGGAAATAAATCCTTGTAATTATTGTAAACATCTATTTTGGGCAAATAATTATTCTTTATTGAAGGGCTACGACTTCCGAACATGAACAATAATTCTATTTTTAAAATAAACATTCATCTCTCTTTAGTTGTTTCATGCAGTGCATTAAAAGCTCAAACGAGTTCGTATTAAGAAGACAGTTATGTGTTTCACAGATTAATATTTCTACGTTTGTGTTGCTGGCATGTCAGCAACAAAATGTTGTTGTTACATCAGGTTTTGTGGAAGGTTCAATTCAAACAAATTTATAAAGCAGCTCAAGTATCACGCAAGAACAAGGATAAATAATAAAAAAGAACAAATATTTAAATTAAGAACCAGGACAAATTAACATGGGAACAAAAGTAGAAAGTTAAAAATTTAAACAGCAAGAAAATGATTGTAAGAGATGTAGTCTTTACAAGAAGTTCATGAAAGTTCTGGCATTCCAGTATAGTTTGCTTATCTCACCTCGTTTTTGAGACTCATTATCTTGTTCTGGGCATATAAGAAGAGGATCTGCATTTTTGATCCCTGAATTACAAATTTGGCATGTATTAGATGGAAAGGAGCATATTTTATCAAGATGACTGCACCATGCAATCATGGTCTGTTTGCAGTCTGAAGTCCCAAGTATCTTGCATGTTAGCCCAGGATTTGTTTGTTAATTTTACTGTCTGGTCAGATTTTAGATTATCCACTAATTTCAGAAAATATGATTTTTAAGTGACTCTGGAGGAAGCATTTTGTTGTATTGTGAATCAAGTGCTCATCCTTTGGTTAGTAAGTCTGCCTTTTCGATAACCTCGATACCCATATTAATAACAATATGTTTATTTGAAAAATGTTGGACATTGTTTAATATACTAATCTGATGAAGTTATCTATATTGGAAGGATTGTCATCAATAAATTGTCTTTATATATTTTGATGGTTGTCAAATAGTATTATGTCTTGAAATATGTCCCCTGCTTTTGAAAAAAAAATCGTTAGATTTGGATTTTTTATTGTAATTATTTTAAAGAGATAATGATTAAGAAATTCTAGTCTCATTTCGAATAATAAGAAGGACAAATTTATTTTTTATCATCTTAATATACAAACTATTAAAATAGAGTTTGAAATTTAGACGAATTCAGAAACTTAAATCAGAATTAATGTTTAAATCACTTTAAACTCTTGATGTAAATTTTTATCGAAATAAGATCGATATTAACTTTTATATTTTTTTGCCCAGTTATTAAGTATTTAATAAATTAATACATATATAAAAATATAAATAGCTAATCAAACTGTAAGAGAATTACTCGTATTATAAATAATACTTGTGTTTTCAGTTTGATAATGCTTCAAGCAATAATTGATTTTAAAATATATTCAAAATGGATGAAAAAGTTGAATATTTAAACGTATATTTTTGTGTAAAACTGTTAATGTGTGCATCATGTTTCATTATTACACAAATTCTAAACATTTGTTACAATACACATTTATGCACATACATAAACATGTATGGGCACATACATATACCTGTTATATATATATATATAATATATATATAATTCCAATTATCTCTAATGGTAATTTATTTACGTATATTTTCAAACATCCGTGTTTTAATCAAAACGCAGAATTTAGTCGTGATTTATTAGAAAACACATTAATATGTTGTCGTGTTTACATTTGCTATTCTTATATTCGAATAATTACTTTCGAATAAATCTGAAAGCAAAAAATCGCATTTTCCTTCCTTTTAATCGTTTAAAAAACAACAAACAACACATTTTACTACATCTTTTCCCCATTCCTCTTTTCCTTTCGAATAATTTGCATTTTTCTATAAACAGCAATTCACCTCAAGAACATCAGCAATGTTATTGTAAAATTAAATCTACGCCCAAACACGCGTTTAGTTGTTTCAATGCTTCTAACGCAAAGAAGAGGAGAGTATAAGCAGAGCGCAACAATCCCACTCTAATTTTCTCGCAATTTCTTAAAAGCAAACATTTGTTTTTCCACCAAGTGTGAATAATTAAGCAGCTATATTTAGCCTGCTTCCATCAAAACACGCCATTTATTCCGGGTTTCGGGAGATTTTCCATCTAATCAAGCTTCTTCCTGCCACCGTAGAATAGCTTTTCCCGCGCACAACTGTTGCGAATAATCCTATTAAGTAAATATCTGATCCGATGGGTCTTACGTAAGATAATAAA